CCCTGCCCGTTTGCCTTCCTGTGCCCGCCGGCCTGCGATGGCCCCGGATTTGTGGTAGAGCCCCCTCGCGCCTCCCCCTCCGGCCCTTCCCTGCCGCCTCCGTACGCCTGGTCATCGCTGCGGTTGCCCCGTCCGCCCGGAGCCTTCCCCCGGCCCGGTACCCGGCCCACCCCGCTCACGCCTCTCTCCCTCTCTTCCCCCCCCCCCCTCTGCGCGCCAGCCCACAGCATGTTCCACATCGTGCGCGCGGTCTTCGGGTACGACCCGCTGGAGTCCGGCGATCTGCTGGACCCGGCCGAGTCGACCGAGTTCCTCACCTTGCAGCTGAATGACCACATTGTCCTGCTCCGGGCCACCGATGAGGCCGGGCTCACGGAGCCGGACATCGACCTGGCCTCGTCGGACTGGTGGCTTGGGGCGAATTACGATCATCCGGAGCGCTTTGGCTGGTTCCCGAAGGCCTTCGTGGAGACGGTCAGCCGGGACACGGCCGAGGTCATGTCCTTCACCTTCACCGGGGACCAGTCGCTGGCCCGGGAATGGCCCACCTGCGGGGCCTTCATCCAGCCCTCGGACCGGGACTCCATCGAGCTGATGCTGATGCGCACGACCTCCAACGAGGATCTCGACCCGGGCGCCGACCGGCTCGAGGGGGGGACCCTCCTGACGGACGACAGTAGCCCGGACCTCCTGCCGGAGCTGCTGCTCCTGCCGGGGCTGGAGAGCGACGACGACGCCACCACCGACGATGGCGGCGAGGAGGCTGAGCCGGAGCCGGAGCCGGAGCCGCAACACACGCCCGGCGGCCCGGTCCCGCGGCCGATCACCACCGCGGCCGGGCCCGAGTCCGCCTCCGTTGCCATCCCCCCAGGCCGACGGCCAGCGTGGTACTGACGGGCTCGTCGTCGCACCTGGCCGGCGGGGGGCTCTTTGGGCCGCTGGCTGGGCCGCCGGCGGCGGCGCCGGCCGTGGCCCTGGCGGCCAGCCCGATGGACCTGACGCGCCTGGACCAGGGCTTCTACCGGATGGCGCATGCGCTGATGGCGCACGCGCCGCAGGCCAGCTCGGGCATGCATCGGATGCTGCCCTTCAGCCGGGACGAAGTGATCCGGGTGATGGACGCGCCGGCGGATCTGCCCGGTGGTGCGCCGGCTGGCTATCTTTTCGGTCAGAACACCGCCGGCCAGTCGGGCTTCTTCCCGCCGCATCTAGTGCAGTTCTTCCAAACGTCCGACTACCTGGCCGATCAGATTGGTGCGTGTGTGTGTATTTGTGTATGTATGTGTGTGTGTGCATGGCTGTGTATACATACGTCTACATGTAGTTGCATGTAGTTGCATGTAGTTGCATGTAGTTGCACATGTATCTGAGTGCAGTTGTGGGCACATGCAAATGCATGCACAGACTCCCTCCTCCCTCCTCCTCCCCCCCCCCCCCCTCCCCTCCCGCCTATGTCCCCGGCGCTTGCTGACCTGCTGTCCCTGCCGTCGCCTCCTGGCGGGCGGGCGGACGAATGGCCCCGGGATCCAGCCCTGGCCCAGCTAGATCGGTTCATCGATCTGAAGCGGCCGCGGCCCGTGCGCATCGGCGACGAGGTGCTGCCGGCGCCGCCGCCCGGATGGCGATACTCCCGGAACCCGGCCGGCCGGCCGTACCTTTACTGCACGGAGACCGGGGCCCGGGCCTGGTCGGTCTTTGAGATTGCCCGCGGGCAGGGGCTCCTGGATGCCGGGGGCCCGGCCCTGTCGCCGAGCACCCCCGGCGGGCATGGTGGCAGCCTGCGCGTGGCGGTGGGGCAGGAGCCCCGGACGCCGGGATCGGCGTACGCCTCGTCATCCTTGACGACCGGGTCGGACCAGCGCAAGAATGTGGCCTTCTTGCGGAGCCTCCGCCGGCGGGACCACCAGTCGCACGATCGGTATGTGCCGCTCGGGTCGCCGGAGCTGTCCATCTCCTTCGGCGAGGGGGGCCTCTTTGGCGGGGAGCGCGGCCTGGCGGACAATGACCCGACCCTGCGGACGATGGTCCGGGCCCCGCTGGAAGGGGCGACCGCCGTGGCGCTGGCCAATGGCTCGGCCACCGGCCCCGGGCAGCCGGGCATGCGGATGGGGGGCTCGCCTTCGCGGGCGGCCATCGGCCTGACGCAAGTGGCCCTGGCCGGTGGGGCCGGCATCGGGGCTGGCGATGCGGCGGCTGACGGCCAGTCCAGCGGCTCGCGCCAGCTCATCGCCCTGACCAAGCTGTCGATGTATCTTCCCTCGTCGCCGCTGGAGGGGGCCCCGGGTGCGGGGGATCTGACGGCCACGGCGTCGCCGGGGCCGGCCTCGGCTCTGCCCCCGCCGCTGACTGGCATGAGCCACCCGCCGGCAGGTGCGCAGCCGCACCCGCACCCGCACCCGGAGAGCCATCCGCACCAGCCCTCGGATGGCATGCGGCAGCAGCAGCAGCAGCAGCAGCAGTCGCGCTCGCCGCCACCGCCGTCAATGCCCCTGCCGCACCCGGTGCCGCATCCTCCACCGGCGTCGGCGCAAGGCCACGGCATGGCCCCTTCCCACGCGGCACAGCTCCACCACCACCACCTCCACCACCTCCACCACCTCCATCACCACCACCACCACCACCAGCAGCAGCAGCAGCAGCAGCACATGTACTCCACGTACCCGGCCCCGCAGCATCACCCGGGCATGGCGGACCCCGTGCAGCCCTCGCTGCCGGTGAGGCCCGACACACTGCCGGGCATGGTGCCTGGCACCTCGGCGCGGTCGCTGCCCCCTCCGATCATGGTGCCGATGGTGCCGGCCGGGGCGGCTGGCGGCTTTTCCGCCCCGACGTCCATCTCCTCGCTGCCGCCGTTGGAGTCGCCCAGCAGCGTGTACATGACGCCGCTGATCATCCGGTCGCCGCCGGGCAGCGGGACGGCCCTGGAGCGGGCCGCCTCCAACCCCTCCCTGCTGGGTGGGGCCCTGGGCCATGGCCCGGCGGGCGGCATGGGCATGATGGTGGACCCGGCCCGTGGGCCGAGGGCGGTCGGCTTGCCGCCGCCGCTTGTGGCCGACGTCGCCGCCGGGGTTGTTGGTGGCCGTGGGCCCGGCAGCGTCGGGTCGGTCGGGGACTTGGATGGCTCGGACTTGGACATGTCGCTGCCGCCGCCGCTGGTGCTGGCGGAGGACGCCACGGAGGAGCCGCTGTTGCCGCTGGCGCCGCCGCCGAAGCCCGAGCGCCCGAGTGCTCCCGGCACCCCGGGGCCCCGGGGCACCGTGCACATCATGGCCGGGGCCGCGTCGCTGCCGCTGCCGCTGCCGCTGGCGCCGGCGCTGGCGCCGCCGGCGCTACTGGAGCCGGCCGGTGCACCGGCGGCCCCGGTGGCCGGGCCTCCTCCCCCGGAGTGCGACCTGGCCGAGACGGCTTCCTGCTCCTCGAGCCCCTCCTCGAGCCCGCTGCCGCCGCCGCTGCTGGAGGTGTCCCCCCTGCCCGGTGTCGGGGAGGAGGGCGACCCGGAGCAGGGCGGCCGGGCTGCCCTGTCGCATCGCCACTCGGCCCCGCCGTCCCCCTCGCCGGGGGGAGTCTCGGGGGGGCCGGACTCCGGGGTGCTGGTCGACGTCGGCTCCACTGTCTCGGCACGGGCCGACCCGGCGGGCGGGGCTGCGGCTGGGAGTGCGGCGGTGCCGCCGCCGACGGCCGACGAGGCCCCGGCGGTCGAGCCGCTGGCCCCGGCGGCCGCCAGTCGGCCGGACGTCGAGAACAACGAGCACTATGTACGTACGGTGCACGGCGAAAGCCGGTGCCATGTGTGTGTGGGGCTGGCGATGCATGCGCATGCCGCATGCCGCATGCCGCATGCCGCATCTCGCATCTGCTCTCCCCGCTTCGCCCTTTTGCCCCGGTGCTCTGGTCCTACGCGCTCTGCTCCTGCTCACCACACGCACACACACACACACACACACACACACACACACACACACACACACACACACACAGGCCCGCTTGTCCCAGCAGGCACGGCAGATCACAGTCGCCCTCCGGCGCTTGGACGGGGCCGTTCGGGCCAACCGCGGCTCCGACAGCGACCCGGCGGCCGGCGACGAGCGGCCGGTTCGCCTGTCACCCCGGTCGCATGCGGAGCTGCGCCTGGTGCTGGATGCCGGCCGAGCGCTGGTGTCCGAGTCGGCGGCGCGCATCCTCGTGCAGGCGACCTCCCTGTCGGCGGTGGTGGCCAAGCAGGCGGCGCGGGCGGCGGCGGCCGGGGCCGAGGTCCCCGACGCGCGGGCCCTCTTCCGCGCGGCGGTCAGCAGCCTGGAGCGGTCGATGGCCGAGCTGGACCGCCTGCTGGCGCCTCTGTGTCAGGCGGAGGAGGAGATCTTCGGCGAGGAGCCGGAGTCGCTGGCCTCCGGCACGGCGGCCGACCAGCCGGCCATCACTCGCAACCAGGCGGCCACGGCCATCGCCACGGTGGTGTCGGCCACGGCCAGCGTCCAGGGTGCCGCGCATGCGCTGCTCCTGTCAATTTGATGGGCACGGCAGGTCTTCCTCTGGGACGGAGCGGCGCGGGGCGGGCCCTCTGGTCCCCTCTTCCCCTCCTTGCTCCCTGTGGTCCATTTGCTTGCACGCCCCCCCCCCCCCCCCTCCCTTCTGGCCCCCGGTCTCTCCATCCTGCGGGTGGGGGCCCGTCCCTCTTGTGCCGGGGGCTGGCGGGCCGAAAATACACCCTCCCCCTGTCCTTGAAGACTAACAGGAAGCGCCACGACTTTTATCCCTTCCCCGCTGTGTGTCCTCCCTTCGCCCTGCTTTTGAATAGCACGGCGGCGGGGGGGGGGGGCCGCGTCGGAGGCGATGCCGGGGGCGCCGCTTATGCCGTATAGGCTGCCATGTGATCCGCGACCCGGCGTTGGCTGTTGTTCGGGAAAATCGGGCCTTTCTTATTGGGCCTATTATTCCGGGCGGCCGGAAGGAAAGGCCCGGGGGCGGTCTTTTCCCCGGCCCTCTCGGTGCGTGCGTGCGTGCGTGTGTGCGTGCGCGTGGGCGGCAAGCGATCCGCCGCCCCGCGAGCCGGGCAAGCGGGAGGAGGACATGCAGTATGGGTGCGGGGGTATATGGTCCCGGCGTGGGCAGCGGCGGGGGGGGGGGGGGCCTTCTTTCAGGAAACTTCCTCTTCCGGTCGCCGCCAGCCAGGGCCCCCCTCTCCCGGGGGTACGGGCGGGCCGGGCCACCGGCCGGGTGCGCCGGCCGCCGGCATGTGTGAGGGGAACACCGGGTAGGTTGTGTTTTCGAAGCTGGTGCCGGGGCGGGGGCCGCGCCTCCCGCGCCCCCCGCCCGCCCCCCCCCCTCCCCCCGTTCGACCTGGGGACAGGCGGCGTTTCGCTGGTTTTCCACCCCCCGGGGCTGCGTCCGGCGCCGGCGCCGGTGCCGCCGCCCGGCGGGCCTGGGACGAGGGGGGGGGGGGCGGGAGTTCCCTCTCGGGCGGGGGAAAGGAGAAGATGTGGTGGGCTGGCCTGCCGGGGGAGGGCCGGGGCGCGGGAGCCGGGCCGGTGCATGGGCCTCGGCGTGCGGGCCGGACGCTGCCTGTGCGCACGCGTCCGCGCCCGCACGGCCAAAGCCCCCGCGGCCATCCGTGGGGGCCTGGCACCGGTCCGTCGCCGCCGCCGCCGCCGCCGCCGCCGCCGCGCCCAGGCCCCTGTGCTCCTGGTGCGGTGCCGGCCGGGCGCAGGCGGGTCCATGCAAATATGTGCGTGTGTGCGCCCGGGCGCACTCGGCCGGCCGGGGGCGGTGTTATTGTTTACCGTCCGCCGGGGCGGCGCCCATGGGGCCCGGGTGTGGCGGCGCGAGCGAGACCCTGCGCGTGGGGCGCGCGACGGCCGGCCACCGGCGGCCGGCTGGCTGGGCCTCTCTCCCCGTGCCCGCGCGCGCGCGCGCGCGCTTGCATCCGGCGGCCACACGCGGCGCCCTGATTAAGGAAACCTCCGGCGGGCGTGGGGCGCTGCGCCGCGCTGGGGTGTTTCGTCCCCGGCCGGGGGCCCCCCGTGGCGGCCTCCATCGCCCGGCCGGGCGTGGCTCATCTGGCGGCGGGTCCCGGGCCCCGGCCGGCCAGGGACCGGGCGCGGGCGCGGGTGCGGGGGGGGGCACAGCGTCGCCGGGACTTTCAGGCGCCGGCGGCCCCCTGGGCGGTGTTTTCGCATGCGTGTGCCCTGGCTCGGTCGTCGTCCTGCCCGATCCCCGACGCTGGGAGGGGGGGGGGGGGCGGCGCGGCCCTCCGGGGCAGCGGCCGCGCAGGCCCGAATCCCGGCGGCGGCGCGGGGGCTCCGAACGGGCGTCCCCGGAGGGCGGGCGGGCCCAGCCAGGGCCCCCCGGGGGGGGGGGGGGGCATGAGGCCTGCGCAAAGAGTCCCCGGAGGGGGAGGGGGGGGGCCTAGCGACTCTGAGCGTTCAGCTGGGGCCTGGCGCATTGGCCAGGGGACGCGCGCGCGCGCGCAGAGATAGAGCCCCCCGGGTCACTGCCGCCGCCGACGCCGCCGCCGCGCCCCGCTTGCTCTTCCTGCCCAAGGCGGGCGTGCTATTTTTTCGGCCACCACCACCCGGTCCGCCGTGCGCGTCGCTGTGGACCGACATTGCCCCCCCTCCCCCACTCATATTTCCCCCTTCCCCGCCTCCTCCCCCGCCCCCTCCCTTCCGCCACCTTGCCCGGGACCCTGTGGCAGCCCCCCCCCCCTCCCGCTCCTCCTCCTCCTCCCTCCCTGCCCCCTGTCTCCCTCCCCGCCCCCCTCCTCCCTTCCCTCGCCACCCCGCCGGCCCACTCCCGGCGACGTGAGCATGGGCGCCCCTCCTGCGCCCCTCTCCCTGGGCGCCGGTGCCGGCGCCAGCGGGCATCGAGCGATATCCTCGTCGGGCGCCGGCCGAGGTGCGCGCCCCTCCCCCGCCCTTCCCTCCGTTGCCTTCCCTCCGTTGCCTTCCCTCCG